AAACTAGATATTCACATATATATTGATGAGATCTTGATCAAGTTTGGAATTTGTAATATTCGGATGATGAACAGTTTCAGAGTTAATGCCCTTGTGTGTACAGCGATGAGACATTGTTCATTTGATGATAAGTTGATGAACTGTTTCAGGATTTTGCCTGAATTATAGATGATTTTTGGATTATTTGAAAATTCATTATTAAGCCACTAAATATTTTGTTATCATTTCTGACAGCTGGTAGTTGGGCATATGTTACCTTGCCTGACAAGCTATCTGTTTGATGTATGATGCAATCAAACTCTGACTTCATTTCTAATTTTGTCAATCAGCTCCTTTGCGTGAATTAACAAAAGGCTTTGTTCGATTGGTGTGGAAAAGTAAACATGAGAGGTGTTATACGAATGTATTAAGTGCTTTTCGCAAAGATATTCTCTTATGTTATTTTGATCTTAACAAACCTATATATGTATTTACAGACGGACATATAACCGGTCTGGGGGCTAGTTAGCTCAGGGTGACAGCTTGGGCACTGCTAAACCAGTAGCATTTGCATCACACTACGAATTCTGCTGAAACTAGATATCCCGGTTAGATTTGGAGGCTCTTGGTCTAGATTTTGGACTCTGTCGATTTAAACATTACTTGGTTGGAGCACCCACAACCATACATATTGTCACTGATCATAAGCCATTGTACTCTGTCTTTAATGGAAATCAGTCGATTCGCACTGAACGCATAAAAGTACGTCACCAAGTACATTTCCGAGTACTTTACTGAAAAGGCAAGAATAATCAAACTGGCTTTTTATCTAGAAACGTCACACCTTTCCAAGTCCTTCCAGACGATGAAAAAGATGAAGTTGATAAGTAATATAACTTACTGTACACGCTATCACACTACATTTATCATTGACTTTATTTCCTTGGGCAAAATATCAACTGCTACATCATTGGATGTCACTTTTCAGGTGCTACAAAAGCTAGTAAATGCTGGACAAACATGGATACCAAAGGATGCAAGCGAGAAATTTAAATCGATTCTACATGAACTCACAATATCAAATAACAACTTTTTCTCAAGGTTGAACGTATGATTCTGCCAGAATCTTTGCAAGAATTGGCCATACAATTAGCTCATTGTGGTAGTCATCCTGGTTAGAGTGGCATCGAGCGTTGTCTATGATCACATTTTTTATCACAATATGAAGTTCAGAATTTCGTAAGTTCTTGTAAAGATTGTTTGATATTTACAGACAGGAAAATGAGTGAACCCATTAGAGCCCATCATGTTCCCTCAAAATGCTGGGAAACTGTATCTGTTGATTTATTTGGTCCAATGCCATCATCACATCATGTCGTGGTCATTTAAGATATTGCGTAAGATTTCCAGTAGCTAAGATTGTATCATCGACTAAGTCAAGCAAGGTGTTACCAGCATTGGCTGATATATAATGACTCTTTTGGGAATCCAGAATTTCAACTTTCCGATAATGGACCGCCTTTTTCCAGGGATATGTCTTATTTTGTGAACAGGAACATTACTCTTCAAAAGATTCCATCACTACATCCAGCTGCAAATCCTGTTGAAACATTAATTAAACCCCTTGGAAAAACCATGCAACTTAGTAACTAAAACAATCATTCAGAACGGACAGCTTTATCACAAGTCATTTCTAACTATTGTGATACTCCAGCTATGTGGAATAGCATCATTGTCTATGTTATTTCGCGATGGTCATCAATCTGTGTTTCCTCGCATCGCAGTTTCTGATTCTCAGGTCAAAGAAGCTAGACATCGTGATGGACTTATCAAACATAGGTGAGCCGAGAAAAGCAATGATTCCAAAAATCGCCACGATATTTTATTTCAAATTGGGGATCGAGCCTTATTACGAAACTACAGCAAAACATCTAAGTTTCATCCAACCTTTCTACAATACCCATGCAAAATCACACATGTTGATGACACTGGCTCATTCATCCTGCTGGAAAGACAGAAAGACGGTAGAATGTTCACCTGCCACCCTAATGACATAAAGAAATGCGTCATCTCAAAATCACAACCACTTACTGAGCAAGGGCTATGTGAGACTCATGCCAAACCACGAATAAAATGATGATGATTCTGGAGACCCATTATTAGAATACCAACAACAGGATGATAATAATATTGCACCACCTGAACCTCATAACCGTACAAGAATTCCAAGATAATTTAATGAAGACTTTGTAAACTAGATTAATTTTACAAGTGTCTATTATTAATATTGGTGTGATCTTGGACAAGAAGTTTGAATTTGATGATTTTTCGATCAACAGTTTTTGAGTTATTACCCTTGACTGAGGAAAAATTTGTTCATCAGCACAATAGAGACAACAGTTAACATCCGATTTTTATGATGATGATTTGTGCTTATAAATGAAATGAAATGAATGGGGTTATATATCCTATTTATTTATATTGATGAGATCTTGGTCACGTTTGAATTTTGACAATTTCTCACTTAACAATTATTGAGTTATTGCCTTTGTCATTAGAGCAGTGTGATTTAATAATTTGATATATTTGGCTGTTCAGTGTAAATGTGAGATATATTTTCGTTTGAAAATGACAGAAAATGAAATGTTTTCTGTACATGACATTGTGAACATTGTTCAATACAGTGATAGCATTATATCATATCCTCTTGTCAGTGGCGATCCTGATTAGGAAATCAATTATTTTACCCAAGTGATGATGAATTTTCGTAAAATTTTACTCAACAAAATGTGACAAGGTGAGGTCTAGACCTCCATAAGCAAGAAATCAGTGAATACCTGTCTTTAATGAAGGTGGGCTTTCCTATAAATATTCCACTTCTCTTCCCCACCTCCCCCCTATGTTGTATGCCATGAAAATGCCAGTCAAAGCACTCATGAAAATAATGGCCATTAATTCAGAGAATAAAGGTCATGGACTCTTAAGGTCCCATTTAAATTTTTTTCTGCGTATGAAATTTGATTTTGAATTCAGCAGTTTTTCCAAATGAATTTTTACTCAGATTTCAAAACTCCCGGTCTATCATTTCTTATTTTGGAATAATATAGAAATTGAAGGCCCCTAGATCTATTTCCTTTGTTAGGACCAAAATTTACAATAACACAAAACCATATTCAAGCCTTATTTGACACAAATATTGCATTTTGTAATTTTCAGGTACTCAGATAATTCATGAGAGAAATTGAAGCACCCCACAAAAATTTGTGACAATCATAAAATTAATTTTCATATCATATATTTATCTCTCTTGTAAATATTTTAACTTTCAGTCATCAAAGAGAACATGTTTTTTTCATTGCAATTTAATACATTTTTATACACCCACATGTATAGTAGTCCGTCAACATTTCTTGTGAACACAATAGAGACTACAGTTTTTATCTGATTTTAATGAAACTTGATGTGACAATGTATATTGATGAGACCTTAGTCAAATTCAAATTTTTCAATTAATGTTTTTTGACTTATTGCCCTTGACTTAGGACAAATGTGCAAAATTTGTTTGTGAACACAATAGAGACTACAGTTTTCAACTGATTTTAGTGAAATTTGGTGTGATCATTTATATTGATAAGATCCTGATCAAGTTCGAATATGACAATATTACGTTGAATGTTTATTGAGTTATTGCCCTTGACTTAGGAAAAACGCGTCAAAATTTGTTTTTGAAGACAATAGAGACTAAAGTTTTTAACTGATTTTAATGAAACTTGATGAGATCTGGTTTGAATTTGACGATTTTTCGATAAACGGTTTTTGAGTTATTGTCCTTGACTTAGATAAAATGCTTCAAAATTTGTTCATAAACACAATACAGTCTACAGATTTCATGTGATTTTTATGATGAATGAAATGAAATGAATGGAGTTCTACATCCTTTAATTTATATTGATGAGATCTTGGTCAAGTTTAAATTTTGAACGATTACTGTTAACAATTTTTTGCCATTGATATTAGAGCTGTGTGATTTAAAAATTTGATAAATTTGAGTTATTGATATTGATTTTAAAAACTTTTGTGGAATTACTCAGCATAAATAACTGGAAGTAAATATATATATCATTGAATTCAAACTAATAAAGTTTCTTTAATATGAGAAAATTTGTACTTTAGTCACTAAAGACTGTTTTATCATTTATGACAGCTGCCAGTGGGCAAGCTATCTTTATAGAAGGCCTACAAATGAATCTACATTAAATGGGGGGCATATATATTGCCGTCGGCCATGTCCCTCCGTCCGTCCACAACTGCTTGTTAACACTCTACAAGACACAATTCCTGACGGATTTTGACAAAACTTGGTATGAGTGGTAAACATGTTCAATTTCGAAGGCACAATTCTTGACGGATTTTGATAAAAAGTTTTATTATTCAGTACCGCGCTAAAGATTGAATATTTGCCTACTAGAGTTTTCACGAGCTAAAAATTGAACATGTTTTCAAGAACAAGGGCAATAACTCATACTCAATATTATTCAGTATCGCCCTAAAGAGTTCAAAAGAAGTGTATGACTGAAGGTTGAATATTTCATACTGGTGATTGTTACTGTACTGCTAAATATTTTTATTCAAAATCAAAGCTGCCAGTGGGAATATATTACCTTGTCTGGCAAGCTATTTTTTTTAAAGAAATCCAGAAGAACAGAAAATAATTTTGGTATGACCTTAAGAAAAAATTTCACCAATGGTGTGTGATATAATTGGACCTTATTATTTGTCGCAAACTGTTTATTAATAATTTTGCTCTAAATCAGTATTTTTGGTAGTCTAGGTGCAAGTGAGATTCAGAAACTTGCATGAATTTTCAGGCCCAGTGAACTCAATATCATCGATATTTTTATTCCAAAACAAAGCTAGAAATTTGAAAAGAAAAAAATTGTTAATGTCTGTAATGTGTCTTAATTTCAATCATTCACAATAATAATCAAAATTCATAATGAAATGTTTTGTGTTTTTAGCAGGAAGCTGTCGACTCCTCGTCTTCCTTGAAGAAATCAGGTAAATATCTGTTCTTATTATGCAAGACCGAAGAGAAAACTTCGCATATGAAAGAAGGATTTTGTGAAAGCGGTGTTGTGCTTTGGTTAACCGTGAAACGATAATTGGTTTACCATGTCTGTCGGTCCGTCCACAATTTCTCGTAAACACTTCAGAAGGCACAATTCTAAATGGATTTTGATGAAACTTGGTGTGAGTGTTTGTAATCACCCGAGGATGAACACCATCGAAAGTAAGAAAAATTGAAAAATATTTAGTATGAGTTATTGCCCTTGTCCTTGAAAATGCATTTAATTTTAAGCTTGTAAACACTCTAGCACTCTTGATGATTTTTGATGCAACTTTGAGTGAGTGTTTGTTATTACCCAACGATGAACCCTATTAAAAATCAAAAATTCCAATAATATTAAGTATGATTTCTTGCCCTTGTTTTTGAAAACATGTTCAATTTTTAGCTCGTAAGTACTCTAGAAGGCACAATTCTTGACGGATTTTGATGAAACTTGTTATCACCCAAGGATAAAGCATATTGAAAATCAAAAAAATCGAAATTTGTTTCATTGACCTTGTTCTTGAAAATGCTTTCAAATTTTAGCTCTTAAACACCAAAAGGCATGATTCTTGCCGGATTTTGACAAAACATTTTATTATTCACTGAATGTTTGTAATCCCCCAAGGATGAACCCTATCAAAAATGAAAAGAATCAAAAATATTTAATATATGTGTTATTGCCCTTGTTCTTGGAAACTTGTAATAATTATTCTTATGCAGCTCTTAAAAGACATCAAAATAATAACTTATTAATAATGAAGCAGTATTTAAACTTACTTTGTTATCTTCCCATGTCATTGAATATTCTTACAGTTCAAAAACATCATTTAGTTAATAAATACATTTTTATATGCCAACACATTAATTAATGAGTTTTTCCCTTGTTCTTGAAAACGCATTCAATTTTTATTTGGAAATGTGTTACGGACGAGATAGAAAGCTGGTTTCTTGATGGATTTTGATAAAATTTGGAGCTAATGTTTGTTATCACCCTATGATGAAGTCTATTGAAAATCAGACAAAACAAAATATATTTAGTATGATTTATTGCCCTTGTTCTTGAAAACACGTTCAATTTTTAGTTTGTTAAAGGTCCAGAAGTTTCAATTCTTGACGGTTTTAAACGAAATGTGGTGAAATTGTTTATTATTTCCAAATGATGTACCCTATATATATTAAAAAAATCTAAAATGTATTTAATATGAGTTATTGCCCTTGTTCTTGAAATCTCATTCAAGTCACAATTCTTGACAGATTTTAAGGAAACTTGATGATAAACATCCCACAAAAATTAAGATATTATTGAATAGATCTCGTAAAGCACAATAACTTATGTTCTGGTCGAAAGGTCAAATTAAAGAGATATGGGCCTTAAAAGTTTCGAAAATTGCTGTTTTGAAAATTGTAAAACTTATTCCCTTTTTTATATGCCCACATGAAATGGGGGGGGCATATATTGCCGTCACCCATGTCGGTCGGACCAAAATTGCTCGTAAACACTCTACAAGACACAATTCTTGACAGATTTTGACAAAACTTGGTATGAGTGTTCATAATCACCCAAGGATGAACCCTATTGAAAATCAGAAAAATCGAAAAACATTTAGTATGAGTTACTGCCCTTGTTCTTGAAAACGAGTTAAATTATTAGCTCGTAAACACTCTAGAAGGCACAATTCTTGACGGATTGTGATGAAACTTATTGTGAATGTTAGTAATCACCCAAGGATGAACCCTATTGAAAATCAGAAGAATTGAAAAATATTTAGTTTGAGTTATTGCCCTTGTTCTTGAAAACGCTTTCAAATTTAGCTATTAAACACTAAAAGGCATGATTCTTGCTGGATTTTGACAAAACTTGGTTTTATTATTCTGTCCTGCGCTGAAGAATTGAATATTTGCTTTCTAGAGTCTTCACGATCTAAAAATTGAACATGTTTTCAAGAACAAGGGAAATAACTCATACTCAATATTATTCAGTATCGCCCTAAAGAGTTCAAAAGAAGTGTATGACTGAAGGTTGAATATTTCATACTGGTGATTGTTACTGTAATGCTAAATATTTTCATTCAAAATCAAAGCTGCCAGTGGGCGTATATTACCTTGCCTGGCAAGCTATCTTAAAGTAAAAGGTCGAACAAATGTAGCTTTATCACAAACAATCGCAAATAGTGTACTATTTCCATGCAAAATTTTGAGGGTGACGATTGCAAAATTTGCAAGTTATAACAATTGAAAATATTTAAGGTAAAGGTGAATGTAACCCAAATGTGCCACGCCACTTCAAAAATTTTGTTTTGTCTGTTATAATGTGCACAATGTTAAATAATGTTCAAAATTTATTAGATCATGAGATATTCATAGATAAACGTTTTTTAAGGCTATGGTGACTGTTGGTGGATTATAGACACTGTGAAATTACGCACAGTTACTAAGTTACTAATGAGTCAGTACAAAATTTTCAATTCTAAAAAGCACAATTTTGATCAAAATACCAAATGTTATATATCATTTGAAAGAATAGATTACGTGTAAGATAAATTGTCACGTATGTAAATTAGGTGACAGAGCTCTTCGAAGTTAAAAATCGTGATTTTCAAATGACTGTAGAACCGGAAGTTACTGATGCACAACAAAAGTGAAGATATCTTCGGAAAAAATCATCAGGAGCAACAACTTTTGTGCTAGTCACAAGGTCACGGTCACGAGATATGAGCCTTCAATGTTTTGGCCTTTACTGAATTTCTTTAACCGGAAATTAATAATTGACATCAAAATTCCTATTTCGGCTTCCAATCTTTTGTTTGCAATCGACTGTAGATTCCATAGACATCAAAATTACACAAAATAAATGTTACCCTGATCCTGAATTTCAACTAAAGAAAAATTGGTTATGGCGGTTGATCCTCTACTTCTGGTCGGATTTTATTATTTGAAGTTTTATATATAGTCAATTCTATCATGACACATAACAAATTTTTCAAATATCTTTAAAATTCCGGAAGTTGAAATTCAAAGTTTAGAAGCGAATGACGTCAAAAGCGAAAGTGATATAGAAAATTTGAAAATTGATTTTTTTTAGACAATCTAAATGTCTATGTACCTGACCTGTAAGTTTTTAGATCGATCAAAATAAAATTGTAAAGTTGAAACAAATGCTTAAATTGAAAATAAGAAAGTCAGTCAGTTCCAAGAAATAAACAACAAAGGTCAGATGAAAATCGGTTGAAAAATAGAGGTGAAAATTGAAAAACCCTATGATGGGTTTTCGTTTTCATACGTCATTTCTTGTTGGGCAAAAATGCGTCATTTTACATTTATTTCCTAATAGGCACCTAACTATCGCAGGGACTGATGTCAGATTATGCGTGACGAGTAGTTTTGTCTGGGCACTCTGACCAGAAGTCGACGAAAAAAAAGTCATTATGAAAACAAAGCAGTGCATTTGTAGTATGAAAATGTTACTCTAGAAATATTTACTGATAGCACTTGCCAACCTCCCGTACGACTTGGCTGCTATTACAATTACATTGGCCATCGTTATTTTTTTTCTTTAAAATAGCAAATCGTGAAATCCATATATAAGAATAGTTTGAAATACAAAGGTCGCTGTTTATAGAACTCTTTACCTTGATCCTTATAAAAAATTCCCCTCTCATGAGAAGGATTACATTGTATATGAATATATAGCACGGAGGGCTCGAGGATTTATCAATGCATTATTCTTGTTACGTCACAAGAATATGCAGGTCAATCAATGTTAAGAGAAAAATTCACGTGTGTTTGTGTTTACATGCAGTCACGTTACTAGATATATCACTATATATTACATGGCTCGACTGTGATCAATGTCTTTTTATATGTTCACATGGCGTGCTTACTCTTAGCGATGCTGTAAATAAGTACACGAGTCTAGTATCGGATATTTGCAGAAGATGTCAAGCTCCAGTAGAGACCTGACCAACGTCGATGCCAAAACCAGGAGCGGCAGAAAATGTGGATCAGACATGGTGAGGAACGCTGTCCAGCACAGCAGGCAAAGTGTTGAAATGCGGCAAGAATGGTCATTTTGCTAGAGTTAGCAACAGTCGACAGGTCAGAGAGAAGTCCGAGCAAACAAAGATACTCTAAGAGAACACCCAGATGACGAGGACAAAGCCAGTATCGTAAAAGAGACTCCTCAAGAACAGCGTGACTCGACAAGTCGACGATGTATCTGAAGTCAACTACCTGGAGAACGATTTCAGTAAATTTGTCTTCAGCATCACGTCACTGTAAAGTAGGCCCTGTGAAAGAAGCCATGCAGGCAAACCTGATTATCAAACTGCAACATGATCCTCAAGCCAGAGCTACACTGGTGACAAAAGTTGACACTGGTTCAGATCCTGACATTCTTCCAAGGTCAACATTTGGAAAGATGTACCCTGATGAAGTCAACAAGTATGGGTTACCCAGAGCATCTACACTTATACCAGCAGATCATGTAACACTAACCGCTTACAATGGCAAAACAATCAATCAGTACGGTACATTCGAGATCCCAGTGAAGTATGATGAACAGAACATAAAGTTTTTCATCGCAGACACGCCAGGACCAGCATTCCTTGAACTATAGGCCAGCATTAAATTAAAGCTGATAAGCGTCAACTGGTACACCAATGATAGATGACTGCCGATAGCAGTGGCAGATTCCCTATCACTTATTCACCGATTCACTAGTTCCCCCGGTGATACACAACTGAAGGAAATATGACATTCACCTGAAAGACAAGATTCGTAATGAACTGAACTCCATGGTGGACTAAGAAGTCATAGCGAAAAGCGATGGTGTAACGCCTACTAAATGGGTAAGAAAGTTTGACGTTCAGCGAAAAGGCCGATGGAAGTCTCACGGTATGTCTGGACCCTTAAGATTTAATCAAAGCTATAAAGCACACTTACCACAAGACACCAACACTGGATGAAATCACACACCAATTTAACGGATCATCTGTGTTCTCAAAACTAGATGCCAAAGCTGGTTACGGGAGCATTGCTCTTGATGAGCCCTCATCGTGGCTCACAACCTTTAATACACCTTATGGAAGATATCGATTTTTACGTTTACCATTTGGCTTGAATGTTCCCCAAGATATTTTTCAGAATGGACGAAATATTGGAGAAATCCCCAGAATGTTTTGGTATTGCTGACGATATTAGTGTATTTGGTAAGGATGTGAACGAACATAATGAGTGGTTACAACATTTAATACGAGTGGCAAGTGAATATTGTCTTGTATTTAATTCATCAAAATGTCTAATCGGACAGACAGAAATACCATTCTTCGGCATGATTTATAGCAGAAATGGAGTCCACCCAGACCCTGCAAGAATAGATACCATAAAGGAACTCACCCCACCACAGAATAAGAGCAAACTATGAGAATTTCTTGGAATCACCAACATGGCACCGTTTGTAGCCAATCTCAGTGCACTATTATCCTTCGAGAACTTTTATGGGAGGACTACGTCCAAGATGGAATCAGACGTACGTTTTCAAACTGTGAAATGTCTTATTTGTGAAGCAACTCTAAATTATTTCAACCCAGAAATACATAGTAGTCTGGTGCACCAATAGACATAATTTTGGTGTCAAAATGTATGTTTTCAGGGTCAAGGAATTCATTCATGATGGTTTGTAATCCCTAAGAGCAGGTTATTATCATGAAAATTGAATTTAATTGAAAATGGCCGCCATTTTCGATATTCCGAATACTATTTCTGTCATAACTTTGCTTCGAGGGCACCAATAGACATAATTTTGGTGTCAAAATATATATGTTTTCATGGTGGTCAAGGAACTTATTTATGATGGATTTCATTCCCTGTGGAGAAAAATTAAAATATATCAAAATAAAATATACAATACTCAGTAAGAATCATCAGAAGTCCTGTATATCTTTACTCAGTTTATAATTGTTTCACAGATTCTGGTGTTGGTAAAGTTCGTTATTACTGGCTTCCAAAATAAAAAAGAGTACTTATAATAAACAATCAAACAACCTTCGCTTCTACCAGTCCAACAACACCTCTTACCACCAGTCCAACAACATCTTCACTACTAAAATATCCCCTACTATACCAGTCTACCAATCTCCCCTATTACTAGTCCAAAACCATCGCCTACTACCAGTTCTAAAATAACCCCTAACACCAGTCCGACAACATTTCCATTTACCAGTCCGTCCGCGTCCCCTACCACCAATCTGTAGGTATCCCCTACTACCAGCCAGACAAAATCTCCAATCCATTAACATCCCCTTCTACCAGTCCAACCAATTTTCCTGCCACCAATCCAGCATCACCTCCCCATACAAAACCAGCGACATCTCCTACTACCAGTCCAATAATCTTTTGTAATACTAATCCAATAACACCCCCTACTACAAGTCCAATAACACCCCCAACTACCAGTCCAATAATCTTTTGTAATACTAGTCCAATGACACTCCCTTCTACCAGTCCAATAATCTTTGTAATACTTATCCAATAACACCCCCTACTACCAGTCCAATAATCATTTTGTAATACTAATTTGATAACACCCCCTACTACAAGTCCAATAACACCCCCAACTACCAGTCCAATAACCTTTTGTAATTCTAGTCCAATGACACCCCCTTCTACCAGTCCAATAATCTTTTGTAATACTTATCCAATAACATCAGCTACTACAAGTCCAATAACACCCGCTACTACCAGTCCAATAATCATTTGTAATACTAGTCCAATGACACCCCCTTCTACCAGTCCAATAATCTTTTGTAATACTTATCCAATAACATCCCCTACTACAAGTCCAATAACACCCCCTACTACCAGAGGAAAAAGGCAAGGAAAAAGGCGAGAAAGCGAGAGTAAAAAAGGCGAGAAGATTTCTCCTTTTTCCTCGCCTTTTTCCTCGCTTTCTCGTAGTCGAGGGTAATATGGCCGCAGTCGGCTTCCATATTTATTGGATGATTTCCTATTGGATGATGTAAATTCTCATGACTTTGTGATGCCTTGGAAATTAGAGAGAACAAGGTCTTTTGTTTACATTTAGAAATTGAATCATATCTCCCTTAATCTTAACAAGATAATTCTGACCTATATTTATCAAAACATTGTTATTTTTTGTAATTACCCTCTTGAAGTACAGTGGTGTAACCTATTTTCGTGGATATAAGGATTCAACACCGAATTTCGTCAAAGTTAAAAAAACGAAAAAAAAATTTTATGTCTTAGATGTTTCCTCAGATATTCTACAAAATATTTAACATTGGTTTATTTCCATTTTCTTTATGAATCCTTCACTTTGACACATATTTCATGAGCAACCAACTCGGCAACGGCGGCAGAATGCGTCACCTATTTGCGTGTACAATGTTTGATCTATATAAATTGGTCCAGAAAAACACCTTGTATGGATCGGGTGGTATAATTAACTTCTCTTAGTATTTATCTTTAATATCAATTCATTATAACTAGTGACAATTCCTTCAAAGAACCACGATTTAAAAAAAAAATAGTGACTGACAAAATAAGATACGTAGCGTGATTTATTGCTAAAAGTCACTGAACAACATAAGAATATGGTCCACTTTGTGTTCCATAGAAATTTTCTGCTGACATGGAATCCGCTAATTGATCACATGACTTCATTCGTTGGACTACATTCTAGCAGACGACACTTGGAATTCCGATTACCGCTTGGGATTATAAGGAAATTCGGCCGATAAAAAATGGTGACGTTTGGTAATAAGTGAAATCCGCCATTTTGTATTTGTCAAAGTATACATTAATACATTTTACCTTGCTTGAAACTACTGAATTCATTCTACTAGCTGATATTGTACAAAAAACAAAAAATGTTTATCAAAACAAGCAAATGCGGAGGTCACGCGAGGTCACACATGTAAATTATTAATCATTTCCGGAAATCCACGAAAAATAGGTAATCACGAAATTAGGTTACTTGACTGTATATATAATTGACCTTCTCACAAGGGGAGGGAGCCGCGGTGGCTCAGTGAGTTAGGCGCTTGCTCGCTCACCTGAAGGTCCGGGGTTCAATCCCTACATAGGTCGAGATAATACCTTCGAATTTTTCAAACCGGTTTCTCCCTGCCAGTGATGCAGGTAAGAGGGGCTGACATGGATAAAGCGTCTTGTCGTTCGGATGGGACAATAAATCGAGGCCGCGTGTGCTACAGACTGTGCATGTTAAAGATCCCGCGACATATGGAAATCGAAAAAGAGCAGGCTAATACCACTCTTCTTGTGTAGTTTACTTGTTGGTGAAGTATGGAATGACACAAAAATCCCACGAACAAAACTTTTCTGGATACAATATTGTTACAGCAGTTGTGGGTAATGATAACCCAAGTTTGTGTTGAAAAATAGGATACAAAACCGGGCTGTCAGCTTTACAATGCAAACTGATAAACATTGCTAGACCAATATCATTCACACCACCCAGAGCTTCAATACAAGTGAATACTCCCCGATGCACACAAAAGGTTATGGCTGTTGTTGGCTTGTTATTACCCTTGTTCTTGAAAACACATTCAATTTCAAGCTTGGAAACATCCTGGAAGGCACAATTTTTGATGAACGAAACTTGGTGAAATGGCTTATTAATACTAAAAGATGAACCCTTTCGAAAGTCTAAAAAATCAAAAAAAAAAATTTAATATGAGTTATTGTTCTATAGAACACTTTCAATTTTTAGCTCGTAAACATCCTATAGAACGTACATTTCATGCCAGATTTTCATAAAACTTGGTTATATTGTTCAATATCATCAAAAAAAAACAAAACAATTGATATAAGTGTATGACTGAATGATTCTGGTATTGTTACTATACTGCCAAGTATTCTTATTTGAAATCAATGGGCGTACATTACCTTGCCTGGCAAGCTATCTTTTTCAATTATAGATATATGTACTCAAAGAGTTGAGAAAAGAGTTCAAATGGGAGGTACTAAATCCATATTAGAAAGGAAAGAAAGTATGACAATGGAACCAAAAAATGAAGGTACTTGTTTTATATCTTGCAAAGAAGGAAAGATTTGATGCTATAGTATTTTTTTATACGCCCACATATTATGTGGTGCGTATATTGGCGTCAGCCATGTCCATCGGTCCATCCATCCACAAGCGCATTTTGTAGCACTTAAACTTTCTAGAAGACAATTCTTAACGAAATTAGAGAAAACCCTATTGAAGATAAAAAAAAAATCGAAAAATATTTAATTTGAGCTATTGCCCTTGTGGCGTAATGATGGCGATATTGAATCAAATTACTACGATTTGGAGGTAATTTCATTACGATTTACGTCCATTTGAGCTTGAAAACTTGGTTAGGATTGTATAATTTTGTGGCACAATAATCCTTATACATTTTCGAGGTAACTTCTATTTAGTCAACAATTAATAGTTTAATAACATTTATTAAAGGGACAGATTGGCCATCGACTGATTTCACCTTAGTCTCAGAAACGGAAATTTTTAGATAAGCTTATCAGTAGTAGTGTTCACAGCTCACCATCGAAATTTGAGCCTTCAAATCTATATGTGCCCAGAATTATCCTCATTTGAAAGTTGAAAAGTCGATTTGTCTTTCCTTGAGACTCTGTCATGTAGATAGAAAAGACATATATAGAAATAGAAAGTAAAATTCCTAGTTTGAGTGTTTTTGAAGAAATTATGAGATTTTCGTATATATCTAGTACTTCCGAAGACTATTTACGTATATTCAAGATCCAAATCAATGGCGAATCTGTCCCTTTTAGTCTATGTATTATCAGCGAATGAATTATTGTTGTTATAGGGATACTACGTCTTAGAATACACTCGTCCTGTGCCTAATATTTGTGTTTAATAGTGACCATTGGTTAAATAAATATGCATAAGTTTGAAAAAGCGACATAAAACTATAATCAGAATTTTTTAAAAAGTGAGCAAGCAATGAATCCGTTCAATTTGAGAAAAATAGAGTCTGGGTAATCAACACTAAAACAGAAAACAATCATCTTCCGGTGTATACAAACAAACTTTTTTGATGATTAATATTCGTTGAAAATTGTCAAGAATGGATTACTGCAATAGCTTATTGACAGGAATTCCATCTGAACAATTACATAAACTTCAAAAAATACAGAATCGTGCTGCGCGGACTGTTCTTCAAGTACCTCAACATTGCCACATATCTCCAGTTCTTAACTCTCTACATTGGTTGCGAATAAAAGAAAGAATTGATTTCAAATTTTGTCTATAACCTATCAAACCATTCATAAATCATCTCCAGAATACCTACAGGATCTACTGTCAAATTATGCACCAACTCGTTCCCTACGCTCTTCAACTAAACATCTTCTAAATATACCAGTGTTTAATCTTTGAACTGTTGGAGCAAGGTCCTTCAGCTTTACAGCAGCTTCTTTATGGAACAGATTACTAGAGACAATTAAACTATCTCCATCTCTTGCCACTTTCAAATCTCGAGTAAAGACATGGTTGTTTAATCGCTACAAATAGACAATCTTTCAAAGAGCACACAAGCGTTTCGAGCATTCTTCTACAGAATGGAAAGGTGCTGTATAAATAGACTTATTATTATTATTATTATAATTGTGTTAGTGGTGTAGTATTCATTCTAAATTATATGAATTGTTTTTTCGCGGGGTCGCTTAATCTCCTATGAGGCATTATTATTCCGTCTTCAAAATATGTCTGACAATGTCGAGGTCAATTCGAGAGTAGAGGTTAAGGACATGGGAAACCCCACTTGAAAGTTACTTCCCCTTGAAAATTACACGGGATTTCCTAGACTCACGATTTGAAAATCGCTTAATGGATGCATTAAGCGTTTTATAATTAATTACTTGATTTTGTGGATATATCAGATTATAGAGGGATTTTGATGTATTGTTAGGACACCAGGTAAGTCCAATAATGGATATATACTGTTATTGGCCAAATTTGAGCAAAATTAAAATTTTATGTTCATCCTAAGACGTAGTATCCCTTTAAATGATCACACAATGATAGACAAGGAGCTGGACTGAGTGGTGGTGGTCGGATTTGAAGCTCGAAAGGCCTGGCCTCGAGCCTCCTCATTCAGACTTCATCTCAAAGTAAGGTCTGATGAACGGTGGGTGTAAAATTCCAAATTCCCGAACTGTCCGAATTGGAGCAGAAAAGACAAAAAAATCGAAACTAAATTTGCACCAAAGGTCGTGCACAAATTCGGGAATCAAAACATTTTATATCAAAAAACGAATATTTTTAATCACAATTTCTTTCTTTATGTATTGTGTATACCGTGCTAGTTTATGATAATGCCGTCTATGAATTAATATTTTTGATATTTAATAAATATAATCGCTATTATTCAATTGACAATTGTGATCGAAGGCGTCTTCCCATTATCCTTGAATATCAACCATGAATGTCTTCCCCACCCTTGTCTCCTTCCCATTCAGAAAATGTGTTGGTCGATAAGGGGGCTGCGGGAGAAGATTGGAAACACACCTCTACTGTTACGTGGCATTTAGTGAAAACCTGTTCTAGACTTTTTACTACTAGTACTACTCCTGCATGCTATATCCACAGAGATATGGCTAAAAAAAAAGAGCTGCTAAGCCTAACCGGTAAAGGTTACATGTATACTATAATAATAGTAACAAGTGGTTGCCTAGCAAGATACGCCCACTTCCCAGATACATTTTCAGTATATCAAGGGCAAGGACGGTCACCTATCTGTGTCAAATCATACCAAAAATCTAATTTGTGCAAGATATTGTTGATTTAAACAAACACACACTATTTAATAGAATTCTGACATCAACTGTAACCTCTATCGCCAACAAATTTTAATGCGTTTTTACTAAGTCAAGGGCAATAACTCAAATTTCGTTGATCGAAAAATTGTCAAATTCAATCTTGACTAAGATCTCATCATTATAAATGATCATACCAAATTTCATATAAAGCGGATGAAAACTGTACTTTCTATAGTGTTCACAAACAAATTATGACGTGTTTTTCATGATTAAAGGGCAATAACTCAAAAACGCTCGTCAAATTCAAACTTGTATAAGATCTCATCATTATAAGTTATCACACCAAATTTCTTTTAAATGTAGATTTAAATCTCCCACTGAGTTTTCACCTTGACATGTCATGGTTGCTATTCAAGGGAGATAATGGGAAGACGCCTTCGATCACAAAACAACAAAAAGTGTCAATTGAATAATAGCGATTATATTTATCAAAAATAAAAAATATCAATTATAGACTGCATCATTGTAAATTAGCGAAAAATAAAGAAAAAAATTGTGTTTTGACCAAATGAAAGCTTTTAAAAAATATTAGTTTTTTGATATAAAATGTTTTGATTCCCGAATTTGTGCAAGACCTTTTGCGCAATTTTAGTTTCGATTTTTTTGTCTTTTCTGACCCAATTCGGACAATTCGGACAGTTCGTGAATTCGGAAATTTACACCCACAGTCTGATGAACTAAAGCCTGCATCTGATTGAGGGTGTCTTGAATCCTCCACCGTAAGAGGACCGTCTCCGCCATCCAGCCAGGTCATTTGAGACTTGATATTCGCTAATTAAAAAGCACGTTTTTCTGATGCAGGGTGCAATAAAAAGTTGGAATGTTTTTATCACGTATGACGAAACGAAACAATAAATATGTTAAGCAATCGCACTGTGGCGAGTTTGAACGTGAATTAAGTAAGCGTGTCATGTTATTTTTTTTAAAATTTTACTTGTCAGTAGAGATATTGTCAGCGACTGCATTTTCGACTTTATGTTGTTAAATCGTAAATAGGCCTAGTCATAGATAGGCCAAAGGGTGCATAGCTTATATGACCTATATTTAGATTTCCTCGAATTTGAAGTATTGTTACATTGCAATAAAAGTGGAGCATCTAGATTTTCTGCCTCTACGCTAGTTTCTTAACTTGATTTCCGGTCATTGAAAAACAAAATTCAAGACAGTGGCTATTTACCACTGGCATGGTAAGCATGGTAAATAGCCATAACTACCCTTACAGCTATTTACCACGGTGTGGTAAATAAAATAAGTCATGATTTGAAATTAAGTTAATGAAATCTTGGCTACGCCACAGAATAAGTAATGTATATTTCCACAAAAATTGTAATGTTGTGTCCTATGGATATAAGGGTGATATGAGAATAAAAATCCCATGAAAGCGCAGGCCTAGGTCATGAAGTTAAAATTTCATATTTATCTAAGTGCTGTATCTAAGTGCGTTCTCCTCTTTACATTTTCTGTCTTTTTCATGTTCGCTCCTAGTTCGTTCGCCCTGGGTCCGTTCGCTCCACAATATTTTGTGACAAAATAATCCATAATCCACAAAGTTTAGACAAAATGTTTAAATATGTGTTCAATTGTCAAACTTGGTCACTTATAAATTTAAAAAGGACCCGTCCGCTAGTGTTTTTTCTCTAAATGATTCTATATTTCTTAGTGTCCAGAATTAACATGGACTTCGAAACAAACAAATAAATTATGTGAAAACTGCAAAAAAGTGGAAACAGGGCTCACTTTTCAACTCGATTCATGCAGCATGGAACAATTTTATTGTGACCAGGACAAATTTGTTTTTTAAAGGAACGGTAACGCCAATTTTTTGACAAATCGTACTTAAGTCTCTGAAACAGGATTGTTTTAGCTAAGCCAATCAGTAATAGTGTTCACAGCTCACCGTCAAAATTTGAGCCTTCAAATTCACATGTATCAGAAATACCCGTGTTTGAAACTAGTATACAGAAGAGGTCAGTAATGTTACAGATATTGTCAGTGTTTGACTGTAGTTTGTAGTAGAGGTCAGTAATGATACAGATATTGACAGTGTTTGACTGTAGTATGTAGTAGAGGTCAGTAATTCAGATATTGGTACTGTTTGATTTTAGTATGTAGACAAGGTCAGTAAAGGTTGTAATGATACTGATATTGATAGTGTTGGCCAGTAGTATATGAGTATATAACAAAACCAGGA